CGCGCCCGCCGAAGAGTACCAACTATATGTACCAGCAGCAGATGCAGCATCGGCATGGAAATTTACGCCCTTCGCATATGCAACAACAACAGCAACAGCAGCAGCAACATAACCAAAGCTCGGGACAACCTATTCAGCAGACATCGTCTGTTATGTTGCAGCAGCGGCCTTTCGTGCAATCTGCCGCTCCATCTCGTCTCTCGTCGGTTCAACAATCTTCAATCCAGCAAGACCCTCGGTCAGTGCTTAGGCAGCAGCATCAGGCACAACAGGACCAGTCCATTCGTCAAAAGCCGATGTCTATGCCCATTCCTCAGCAGAAGACGGTTCCTTCCTACGAACAGAAACAACAAGAGGAAGAACAATTCACGAACCAACGGATGATTGGTCTGGAAACACAGTGTAGTAATTTAACAGGGCAAGAATATACGTTATCTTCCCAACAGATAACCCAACAGAACAATATCGCTATTCTGCAGCAGCAGAAGCAAGCGGTGGCACGGCAAAATATTCTCCAGCAACTTCTCGGACATCAAAGTAATGCTTCAGCCTTGTCCCCACAACAACAGCAAAAGATCTCGGGGCTGCTCGGACCAGAGTCGGGACAATCACAGGTACCGTATCAGCAGATGGCGATGCAACATACGAATTTGGTACCGCATAATATGCAACAAGGGTTTCGAGGAGCAGGTCAGAACGTGGCGGAGAAACAGAAGCAGATATGTCAGTTGCAAAAGGCTCCCGGCAATTTATCGGGTACGTTTCTTTTCTTACCGAGTTAGTTTATCGGTTTTCCTTGTTCCGCGTCGCATACTCACGTATCCATGCATATTTGTTGAATTCATGTCGTGCATCATATGCATGTGATTCTTTTCCATGCAAGTTTTCATGTGTCTGATACATGATATTTCTCATGTTTTTGTCATTCTATGGTGCATGAACTTTCCCTTTTTGTATGATTTTTTTACTTAAAATAATGTTTTTTGAGTATGGAATTCATTTTTTGCCATCTGAAGATTCTGCAGGCAACACCGGAAACGCGAGTGGAGATGATTGGCGGGAGGAGCTCTATCAGAAGGTAATCTCTTTACGTCAGAGTTTACGTGAAGAACAAGAAACTTGTTGCATGAAAGCATTAGTTATAATGCCAAATCAAACTAAGCGCATCGATCTAATTCCCAGTGACGTTCTTTCAAGATTCTTTCGTTGGATGGGAATTTTTCATTGCCGGCCTTTGTTTTTTGTAGATAAATGCCTTGAAGGAAACGTACTTGCCTGATCTTACTGTGATGCTCCAAAAGTTTGCCATTAAATTGCAGCAGGTAAAGTTATTATCACTAGTCCCGTTACGACATTAGTCCACCGTTCGTTATCTCGTGTTAACTCTCGATCTCAGAGGCTTGGGTTATTCGTCAAGTGTATGTGAAGATGCAAAAACGTCTGCATGATTCTTCTTCCGGCTTTTCTTTTTCAGATTGGTTCTCTTCCGCAACAGCAAATTCCAGATTCCCAGACCGAGAAAGTGAGGATCTTCAAGACGATGTTGGAGCGAGTGATAGAGTTTATAACCGTCCCAAGGAGCGGTGTATCGGAGATGCACAGGGATAGGTTCAGTTATTGCGAGAAGCAGATTGTGAATTTAATCAAGAATCCGAGGCCTAGGAACCCAATGCTGCAGCTGCAGCAGCAGCAGCCGGGGCAGCTTCTCGATTCTCAGATGCATCCCATACATGAAGCAGCAACAAAATCCATGTCTCCACTGCCGGGGCATTCGCCATCAAACCCAAGCACGTTAAATTTCCCGCCGGTGGGGATTGATGTCGAATCAGGACGGGACAACATGACGGGCTCGCCACAGAATGTTGCATTGGCTTCATTCCAGCAGAATCTTCCAGGTACTTCCCGGCTGTTACACTCGAATCTTAGCACGATGGTTCAGTCCCGATCCAGTGTGCTTGAGCAGCTTCAGCAGCAGCAGAAACACATTGTACAGAACCAACAGCAAAAACAGCTGATTCAGCAACAGGCGATGCAGAGGCAGCGGATCATCCAGCAGCAGCAGCAGCAGCTTCAAATGCCATCTCCACATCAAGCAAACGGCACGGAGGATCCGAGGATGAGGCGGGGGATGAATAATATTCAAGCGGGTTTACTTCAGAAACGCCAACTCTCTTCTCTTCACCAGTCTAAACCAGTTGGGACCCAATTGCTGCTGCACTCATCTCCTCTGTTGGACCATCGGAATCTTCCGGAAACAGCCTCTAAAACTGGAACACCGCCTCAGTCTGTTGGCTCGCCTTTTGTAGTTCCATCTCCTATAACTCTAACTCGCTTGGCTCCGTCTCCAATGCCTGGGGATCCTGAAAAGCACTTATCTATCGAGGCTCCAATTCCACATGATTCAAATGTGAAGGAGCCACAAAGAACTGGTGGGCAAGCTACAACAGTTCAGTCCTCTTCTCGTTTTGCTGTGGTTAAACCATCCCCGCCTCTGCTCGAGCCAAGTGTGGTGGAGCGTCCTATTGATCGTCTGATCAAAGCGGTTAGTGAAAACTCGCAAACCTCGCTTTCTCGATCTTCCACAGGACTGTATTTTCTTGGTATGCTGATTCGAGTTTTTTTGTCTCGTGCTTTCCAGTTTCGCTCATCATCACCCAAATCCTTGGCTGAATCTGTCGGTGAGATGGGCTCGGTTATCAGGCTGATGGATAGGATTTCGTCATCGGCCCAGTATGATGGATCTAGAGCTGCTGTGGGTGCGGATTTGGCTGCCATGACAAAGTCCCGTTTGCAAGTGAGAAATTTTACGAAACGTGAAGGAATGAAGCGATCCCTGAGCCCTCTGCCTTCGGATATTGCATCATCAATTTGCGATGGGAGCAACGATTGTGATGGCCGGCTTATTCTAGAATCTGACACAGCATCGTCTTTCACAAAAAGACAGAAGATTGAGGTATTTTTGGCTTCCTAGGGTTTCTTTTACTGATCAAACTACAGACGAGATGTTCAGAGTCATAGTGTAGTTTCTGAAGAGATTCCATTTTCAATCTTGCAGCCTGACAGTGCCCTCCTGCGAGAAATAAAAGAGATAAACCAAAGATTTATAGATACAGTGGTACATATATGCGATGGAGATGATAATTTAAGTCGAGAAACTTCCATAGAACGAGGTGAAGGAACCGTGGTCACGTGTTCTTACGTTCCCGTGGCTCTCAGTCCAGCCTTCAAAGCTCTTTACGCTTCAAGACGAAGCGTGCGTCTTTCGAATTTTAAGTTTAGTTTTCTTCATTTCTTCATCCAATACTCATATGCCCATTTCTTGTTGACAGTTGCAGATTCAGCCATTGCGTTTGCTAATTCCCGGAAATTACCCGGATAGTTCCCCTATTCTTCTGGACAAGTTCCCAACTGAAGCCAGGTACTAATCCTATTTGGTCTTCTGGTCATTTTCCTATAGTATGTTATTTGCTTCCGATGGGCGGTGATGCAACGATTTCATTACATTGCAGCCATGTAAAGTGAAGAGCTAACATGTTAGAGGAGATGGAAGAAATGTAATAATCTTTAACACCCATCTGTTTTTCCTCTTGCTGGGTTTTACAGTAATGGCTACGGGGATTTAACTGTGAAAACCAAGTCGAGATTCATCCTGTCTTTGAGGACAGTTGCAGAACCGATGTCTCTTAAAGACATAGCAGGAATATGGAACGCTTGTGCTCGAGCAGCCGTGGCTGAGTTCGCAGAGGGACAGGGAGGTGGTAGCTTCAGCTCCAAGTCTGGTCCATGGAAGAGCTGCTTAATCTCTTCGTGATTTTTTCTGATTCGGACCAAAGTTGGTTGATGCTCTCTGATCGGCTTGTTTTAAGGGGGTTCTTTTTTGGAAAGCCGGTTACTTGCACCTCAAGTTAGGGTTTGTTTAAGCTCTTCTTGATGTATGTTCCGGACACATCCCCTCACAAGTTGGTTAACGGTTGTACTCTCCAATCGGCTCTGTTTTAGGTGTTTCTTGTCTTTGCTGTTTGTTTGGCAACTTAGTTGCTTGTACCCAAAGTTAGGGGTTTCATGTTTTGTTTCATCAACTTTTTTTAGGGGCCTCTTGACTCTTTACTGTTTGGAAGTAAGTTGCTTGTACCCCAAGTTAGGGGTTTCATTTTTTTTTTGGGTTCTCGGGGGGTGATGGATGATGCATAACATTTTTGTGAAAGTATATAATTTCCCAAAGAAAATTTGGTAGTGAAATTTTTACACCGCCCTGCGCTTGCACCAGTGTTTTCGGTGTACGATATCTCTCTGTCCATACGGATTTTGTATTTAGAAGATGGTATATGCATATTGGTATATATTCACAGAAATATATGACCAAATCAACAGTAATTTGCATTTGAATTTTGTAATTGTAGCTGTTATAAAATACTTTATTTTACTATTTGTTTCTAACTTCTTAATATAGTTAAATTTTGTGGTTAAAATATGAAATAACCAAAGATACATATGATTAAGGCTGAATACGCAGAGGGACACGTTGCTTTTTAAACCCAAAGCAAATCAAAATTCGAAACTGTACTAATTTGTAAGTCCAGGTCGTGAATTAATTCCGAAAAATCAAACTAAAACCAAAAGTTTCTCTGAAAATTTATGAATATTTTTAAACTAAGACCAAGACGGAAACTGACATCCATATTCGTGTGAATGGAAGATCTTTCCATGGAAACTTACGTTACATTAATTTCTCCTTGAGCTTCCGTGTTGGTTTAACGTGTGGGGTTGCATGGACAACGGGCGAAAGGTCCTGAAAATGGTCGTCGTCTTCATCCCCACAGTCGCACTCATATGAAATTTCCACAAATTTTCCATGCATGCCCAGTGAACATCATCATCATCATCAATATGGCCTCTCTCATATATAACCCCCTCCTCTCCCTATCTTCTTCGTTCGTCTCAATCATTTTCTCCGATGACCTCTAAATCTCTCGGCGTCCTCCTCCTCCTCATCGCCGCCATATCCGGCGGAGATGCGGCGTCGTACAACGCCACGGATCTCATCCTCGTCGACTGCGGAACCACCGGCTCCAAGACCTCCGACCAAAGCGGCCGAATCTGGTCCGCTGAGGACCGGAGGCTTCTGTCGGCGAACTCTGACGAATCTTCATTCTCGGCAAAGGCTTCAGAACAAAAGCCCTCGGTGGAGCAAGTTCCGTACATGACGGCTCGGATTTTCCAGTCCGAGTTCAGGTACAGCTTCCCGGTTTCCCCCGGTTGGAAGTTCGTCCGGTTATACTTCTACCCGACCCAGTACGGCTCCGATTTCGATGCCATTAACTCCTACTTCGCCGTCACCGTCAACGGTTTCTCTCTCTTGAAGAATTTCAGCGCTTCTCTGACGGCGGCGGGTTCCCTTACGCCGTCGAAATTCATAGTCAAGGAGTTCATCATTCCCGTTTTGAGCGGGCAAACGCTGAATATCACCTTCACGCCGTCAGCAAACTCGTTAGCTTTTGTTAACGGAATCGAGATCGTCTCAGCGCCTGACGGACTGTACACAAAGGGAGGGTTCGACGACGTCATCGCAAACGTCGATAGACCCATCGTCACCTTCGAGATTGACAACTCGACGGCGTTTGAGACCGTTCACCGCGTTAACGTCGGAGGAACGGCGGTAGCGGCGTTAGGAGACACAGGAATGTTCCGACGGTGGGATTCCGACAACGATGGTTACCTCCTCGGATCAAACTCTGGGCAGACACCGTACTTGCCCGATGCTCGGATCAATTACACGTCGAAAACGCCGGAGTACGTTGCGCCGGAGGAGGTATACGTTACGTATCGCACGATGGGAAACGCCGGAGGAGGTATACGTTACGATGTCGGATTTAACTACCTCGTCAGGCTTCACTTCTGCGAGACTATGCTGGAAGTCACGAAACCTGGGCAACGTGTCTTCTCCATCTTCATCGCGAATCGAAGTGTTGTGCCTGACGCCGACGTGATATATTGGAGCGGTGGCTCCAAGATTCCAGTGTACCGAGATTTCGCTACGTTCATGGGGTCCAATGGAGGAGAGAAGAGGCGTGATCTATGGCTTGATTTGCATCCGTTCATGGACGTCAGGCCCAAGCCCGAATATGCTGACGCAATTCTAAACGGTGTAGAGATACTCAAACTGAGTAACACGGATGGTAATCTCGCCGGACCTAACCCTGAACCGACTCCATCGTCAGAACCAAAACCTGGATCACGGCCGGTGAGGAGGCGAGGAAATGGGCGGTCACATGTCTTGGTGATCGTCCTCACGGTGGTTGGTTGCGCAGTTGGACTGTCTATAACAACGATCACCGTTGTGTTGTTCACATGCCGGAGAAGGAGGAACTACACTACACATACCTTAACCACCAAACCGACCTCGACTCTCCCCTTGCATCTTTGTCGTCGATTTTCTATTTTCGAAATCCGATCTGCCACTGATGATTTCGACGAGAAGCTAATCATCGGAGTAGGCGGGTTTGGAAACGTATACAAAGGGAGAATCGATGGTGGATCCATCACCGTCGCGATCAAACGCTTGGGAACGTCCTCCCAGCAAGGCATCAAAGAGTTCGAGACGGAGATCAATCTGCTCTCTAAACTCCGTCATGTCCATCTTGTATCTCTCATCGGATATTGCGATGACGAAAACGAGATGATTATTGTCTACGAGTACATGCCTCGTGGAACACTCAGATACCATCTCTACAAGAATGATAAGAACGCCGAACCTTCATTGCCATGGAGACAGCGGTTGGAGATCTGCATTGGGGCAGCTCACGGGCTAAACTATCTCCATACAGGAGCAAATTGCATCCGATCATACACCGAGATATCAAATCCACCAACATACTTCTCGACGACAATTACGTAGCCAAAGTTTCGGATTTTGGGTTATCCAAAGTTGGTCCGGCCAGTGCATCCAAAACTCACGTAACCACAGACGTTAAGGGAAGTGTCGGTTACTTGGACCCTGAGTATTACCGTCGTCAAGTATTGACGGACAAATCCGACATCTACTCATTCGGTGTCGTTTTGTTCGAGGTCCTATGTGGTCGTCCTGTAAGAATGCCAGGTGTGGACGCGGATCAAACGGATTTAACCAAATGGGTTAAACTAAACCATTCGAGAGGAACCGTTGACCAAGTCGTGGATCCGTATCTGACGGGAGATATAACTCGGGTTTCATTGGAAAAATTCTGCGACATCGCAGTGAGTTGCGTCCACGACCGTGGGACAGAGCGGCCGATGATGAACGACGTCGGGCGTTACAGTTCGCGCTTCAGCTCCACGAGACGACGAGGAAGAGTGGTAACGTGGACGAGGGGGATACGACGGTGAAGACGGAGGAAACCGATTATGACGTGCCACGTGGAGAGATGGGTACAACTGATGAAGGAGATGACTTGTTTATCCGGACAATTAGATCGATCGTTCATACATAAAGCACAAGTGGCCGTCAAATTTACATGCACCTTATTAATTAATTCGCCATTATACTTGCAGTTTACTCATTGAGAGTTTAATTATTAATTCGCCAGTAATTACTTGAATTTTAATACATTAAAATCCAGACTAATCTCAAAAGTCCAACCAAATGAAGACCCACTAATTGTTCTGTTTCGGATGGGCTCGGACCGGTTAGCCGCCTCCCGGACACCCCTATATACTCTCATTTAAATTCTCGGCCCTATACACACACACACACACACACAAAGTCAACAGTCCGTTGCAATTTAAAAATGTTTATAATGGCTTATCTGTTGCACCAACCAAATAAAGAAAACAGTTAATCAATCAATGGATGAACTAAATTATTAATTAAATACACACACACATATATATATATATATATATTTATATATTCGCTATAAAGGCTTAGACCATCTCATAATTCCTAATCAACATTTGCTACGATGAAATCACCGCCGATCTCGTTCTTCCTCTTCCTCCTACTGCTGACGTCGGCATCCGCCGGGAACATTACCGGAGAATGGAAGAGTCTGGGCTGTGTTGCCGGAGAAACCACCGGAGAATGCTTAGATGCGGCGGCGGAGGGGGAAGAGTACGACGGAGCCGCCTCCTCGGCGGCGGCGGTGGTGAGGCGGATTCTGCAACAGCAGAACAAGATAAGCTACACAACTCTCCAGAGGCAACCGGTTTGTAATGCCAACGTGTATGGTAATTGCATTAGCAGCGTTAATCGACCAAGCCCACCTTGTACTTACTACAACCGATGCAAACGTTAATTTCCATTTTTTTTTTGTTTCGAGGTCTAAATTGATCAAAACAATAATGTGTGGGTGTAATGTCAATGAATGCAACAAATGTGGGATGATGATGTAATAAATGTATGAATTGTGTTTCTTGTCGATTTGTATTTATCTAATGCTATGTTCTTTTACTGTGTGTCGTTATATGAGATTTTTCTGCCATGTATTGTGGTCCCAAAATTAATTATTTATATATGATATTAAAGAATAGTGCAAATTGTAGTTATAAATTTAATATAGTGGTTCACTTAAATGCATGTTTTTTTTCCTTTCTAAAACTACATTATCGAAAATAAATCGCAACACTTTTTTTTTCGAATTAATCATAAATTATATTATAGAAAGTTGCGAAAGTCATATGAATGAATACATATTCGATTTAAGGCTACGTACAAAATTTCCGCAGGAAATATTTAAGATTAGAATTAATTTCAGAATATTTTGGATTATTATTAATCTATAAACAACGGATTCTATATATATATATATATATATATATATATATAAGAAATATTAGATATAGAATAATAGATTGCCGCAAGGGTGTGTGTGTATATATATATGAACAATTAAACAAGTGTATTGTTTGATAGTTTCAACTTGCGAGGGATGAGAATGACATTCGAACCAATAAACTTGACTTCGAGTCTTTGTCTCTCGACCTTACTTACACGTTCTGCATGTACGAATGAACGTGTTAAAATACATCAAAGAATTGGACGTGAACGACTATCGAGTATATTATATATATATATTCTTATATTTTTTTTTTGTTAAAACAATTCTTATATTTTCCCCTATAAAAGTTTGTTTATAATCTGTTTCTTTTATTTCTCTTAATTTTAAAATTTAACTTTGCATGTATAACTATTTATACCATCATTGAATTAAAACACAACTTTCGGAGCAACAGTGTGGAAACAATCATTTCGTTAATGGGACAGAGAAATTGAAAACTGAATATGGGAAATAATAATATAATTATTATTTTTTTGACAAAATATAATATAATTATTTTATTTTAATTTTGTACCATAATGGCGCACAAATCACAGGGTGCTTGATAATTTATCAAAATTACCCCAACGTCTTTAGATCAACCATATTAACTTTACATATAATTCCTGGATGTTGTACTTCATATAATAACAATAATAATTATTAATAATTATTATATGATAATAAATCCGAGGTATGAAATGAACAATTATTGATTCTGGGCGTTGGTTGGCGATGTTGGGTCAACTCTAGATGTCGGTACGAAATAACGTTAATAAATCCCTAGATGTTGGTTGGGGATGTAAGAATTAATCAGTAACGTGGTGCTTGAACCTACCAAAATAATCACACCATTTTCATTAAACGAGGATTTTGCGTTGCATCTTCTTAATATATTTATATATATATATATATATATACATACATATATGTGTGTGTTTTAAAATAGAAAAAATGAATATATAATTAGAGAAAAATACAGTTTTTGAGATATTATTTTCAATAATAATGAACACAATATCGTGTTAAATATTGGGTATCACATTTGTTTCCGTTATATCTATATATTTTTTTAATTTATTGTTAATTTTTTTTATAAATATATAAATTAGTTTTATTTTAATGTAATTAGAAGAAAAAAAGATATAGGTAATTATGTTCATTTTTATATTTGTCTTTTTTTTCTTATTTAATTTTCGTAATTTTATATTTCTTCAATATATCACAAAATCCACACATTTTATTGAAGAAATGGCGTTTATAAGAGATCTCGGTTAAATCGTAGAAATTTATTTGTATGTGAATCTAAATAAAATACCGAATAACAAGTTGATGATTGAGCGAAAAACAAAGAGAGTGTATGCTCGAATGTTGCAAGAAATGACAAAAAGGATGTTTGTAGTGTACTGCATATTTGACTCTTCCACTCCAGTCGCATTGCAATTATAAAAACAATATTATAAAAAATGAAACATCAAATAAAGTTATTGTGTGTGTATATATATATATATATATCCAAAATCCAATTTTAGTTTAAAATAGTCCATGCCCATGATATTAACAGTTAGTGGTGAAGAAAAATCAAAGATATAAAAGTTGCATATATATCTTCCTCATCCATTCATTCACCAATAACCATATACATCATCTCCACTCTGTTAAAGTGGGAAAATGAATATATGATTGAAGTAAAATAAGATTAGAGATATGATGGAGAATGGCGTCAGCATATTCAGGGTTAGGTCCGGCGATGGAATGGGTTCAAGGTTATAACTCTCTTTCTCCAACTCACTCTTTCTCTTTGTTTGAACATTGTTGTTGGACGAGTACCCAAGTGAAGATGCATGGGATTGGACGACCATGATCTTATTTGGAGAGAGTTGTGCATATGTGCACAACAAAAATCTCTTTCTTGAGAAGGAATTCAGAAATGAGTTGACAACGATGAAGACCATATATATATATATGTTTATAACTCTCTTTCTCCAACAATTGGTTCGGCTTTGTAATCTACCACTTTGGTGTTGAAAGCTCTCTCTCTCTATATATATATATACACACGTGTGTGTGTTTTGTTCTCTCTTGGATTCGGTTACCAAGCAAAAAGTTTGATTTTTCCTAGAAAAATTATTGATGCTTGGGAGAAAATGTTTGCTCTTATGTGTTTGTGTCGCGAATGATGCTCCCATACGGTTTTGGGAGGTAAAACTGTTTGTTTTCCAAAAAAAATGACTGGAAAAACTTGAAACTTTTGAAATAGAAATTGAAATTGTTACTGAATCTTGCTATCTCCTTTGAAGGTTTTTTACTGGGTTTTTCTAACAAAACAAATCAACCAACCTACCAAACATCTTACTTCTTTATTTAATATGTTTTTCTACCTCTAGCATGTAATTCCATTTTTTTAACGTCTATATAACATCGTTATATCTCTATCTCTATATATGCATGTATATACATATGGTACACAAGAGTACTTTTTCTTAAATTTTCCATGTTTTTGTTTAATATGTTTTTTGTATATATGATTAAAAGATTTTTCTGGTTTTACTTTGGTCAGAGAAAATACTTCCTATGATTGTTTTATACTTCACCTTGCCTGTATATGTGCAGATATCGGTATGGTGGAATTGTTGTTTCAAAAATATAAATGTGTACACACAAATATATTTTTCATATATTATTGCGTCGGATATTATAATTTTTTATAAGACCACACAAATCTTCAATAATCCCAAAACACAAATCAAATGATTTCACCATCATTTCTCACGAGTTATAATGTTTAAAATTATAATTTTTCTTTGTTGAATTCCATATAAATCTCTAATAATTTCCACATAATTCAAACTAAATATGCTTGATTGTTCTTTTTCAAGAGCAGTGATGCTAGAAATTAAACCTTTAGTCCGGTTTCATGTATGATTGTAGAAAAAATATCAGATAAATCTCTAAAAAACTTCATAAATATTGGAATCTAAATATTTTTAGTAAGGCGGACGTTTCGGTTTGATTCCAAAGAATCGAACCGAACTGAATAAAAAATATGGTATTTTTTCCGATTCGAACCGTTCTAAATTTTTGAACGGTATTATTTTTTGAAACACAATCGAATTTCAAAAAATTCCAAAAAACCAATTTTTTTAAAGAAAATCTCTCTTTTTTATGAAAACCGGAATCGAACCGAACATAATATAAATATCGATTGGTATCTATTTTTTGTAAAACCAAAAAAGCTCAACCGATGTATTCCCGTTCCGCACCCGAATCGATTTCCGAAACGTCCACCCCTAATTTTTAGCATAAGTTATCAAGAGTTATGATACTAGACATTAAAGATTAGATCCAATCTGACATAAATCTTAGTCATATCGACATAATTCGAATTAAATATTGGTAAGAGTCATTTTCCAAGATTTATGGCAATTAAATTTTTAATTAGTGTATGGGTGAAAGAGTCATTTCATTATGTGGGAACAAAGTTCCAATTCCATCAAAGGATTCAACTTTGTATTTAAAATCCAAATACTACATCGGAAACACATGAACTAAATCTAAAATCGATCAGACAAAAAACCTAGAAATTGTTAAGAATTTGATAATAGTAAATGTGAACATCAGTTTGGTCAGATAGAGATAACACAGTTGTTACTAAGTTTTTGTTTTGGAGAATGAAAAGTTTATGATGGATTGCGATAATAAAAATACTAATAAGCAAATTTAACAAAATACAAGTCAAAATAAATGAAAATGTTAAACTAAATGAATCTCAACTCATATTTATTTTTTGGTAAAGGTATCTTATTTCTTTTTATTAGATTTTGTTTATTAGAAAAATATTTAGAAAAAGATTGAACTTTACATCATATGGTATGTATACAAGTAGAATATGGTATTTATGGCGAGAAAATATTATTTATTACGTGAATATTTTTTTTGGGTACCGTTTACATAATTTTGAAGGATACTAACTACAAATAAAGTAAATACAAACTCAAATAAAGTAAATATTATGCGAGGAAAAATGAACTTTTACAACGAATAACTTTGACCACAAGTTTAGAATAGAAAACGTTTTTAAGTGTTTATCCAATGGCCCAATATTTTACAATGTTATAAAGATCCGTACCTTTATTATCAAAATTTACAAAAGTTTTTTGTGATAGGTTTATTTTATCATAATAATATTGGTTTAACAATCATATAAAATTGAAATTTTTTTGATTAAAATAAATAATATTCAGTATATTTCAAATCTGATGTATAAAGTAGTTTCAGTGAGTGATTTTAGTATTTAGATTTTTTTAATTATTTTTTAAATGGATTCGAGAAAAATCGTAGCAACTATTAAAATTTTGATAGAAATTAATGTAAATTGTCGATTTGATCAGGTAGGGACAATATGGTTGTGATTGGGTTTTTGTTTTGAAAATCTTTTATAGATTATTGGGTCAGGTTTTGAGTTGTATACTCTAAGTGAAATATCAACATGGTCGGATCATCAGAGTTCAGTTATAGTTAATATCACTTTCTTTGACACTTTAACCCTTATTATGGGTGGGTTACGAGAGATTTATCACATAAAAAGCAACGTGTACATCGTAAAATGAAAAAAAAAATTAGGACGAATTGGGATGATAAAAATACTAATAAACAAATTTAATAAAATACAGATTAAACTAAATGAAAATATCCAACTAAATGAACCTCATCTCAAATTTATTTAAATTAAAAGACTATCGATTTTATATGATTGTTGAAACAATATTAGTTTGATATACATAAATCATCCAAATATAAAATAATCACAAATTTTTTAGTAAATGTATTAAATAGATATCTACAAAATTTAAATATTGATGAGATCGTATAAGTTAGTATTATACCAATATTTCTTATAAAATATTTATTAAATTAAACATGTTAGTTGTTGATTTCTAAAACCAACCAAATTAAACATGTTATTTATCGAGTTGTAAAGTTTCTTCAAATATTCATTCGATATTCCACATTTTAATCTTTGGTTATATACCACAACGAAAATACAAATACGAAAGTGGTTCACAATTTATTATCTCGCCACGAGTTAAAAAATACTTATTCTGATTTACAACTATGCTTTATACAATTCAAAAACGAAAAAGTATATATTTAAAATTTTAAAACTAATAATATAATTATTTAAAATCTATATGTATTTTTATATTGCGATGTGATGTGCGCAGGTTATTTAAAATTTGGGTCTATTAGATATCGTTTTATTAGATATTCCAACTTCTATTACTGATGATTTACGAGATAATGATAGATTCATCACGCATGAGGAATTAAATCAACTTTTTTTATTATCAAATAATCGAATAATTTATGACGAATCGTGATGGATAAATAAAATTAGCAAGAAAAAAAAGTCCGTGCGATGCGCGCGGGTTAATACCTAGTATCACAAAATCCACACATTTTATTGAAGAAATAACGTTTATAAGAGATCTGGGTTAAATCGTAGAAATTTATTTGTATGTGAATCTAAATAAAATACCCAATAACAAGTTGATGATTGAGAGAAAAACAAAGAGAGTGTATGCTCGAATGACAAAAAGGATGTTTGTAGTGTACTGCATATTTGACTCTTCCACTCCAATCGCATTGCAATGATAAAAACAATATTATAAAAAATGAAACATCAAATAAAGTTCTTATATATATATATATATATCTATATATATCCAAAATCCAATTTTAGTTTAAAATAGTCCATGCCCATGATATTAACGGTTAGTGGTGAAGAAAAATCAAAGATAAAAGTTGCATATATATCTTCCTCATCCATTCATTCACCAATAGCCATATACATCATCTCCACTCTGTTAAAGTGGGAAAATGAATATATGATTGGAGTAAAATAAGATTAGAGATATGATGGAGAATAATAATGGATACAATATCATTATACCAAATATTATGTATCTGATTTGTTTCTATTGTGTCTATATTTACTTTTTACTCAATTTCTTAATTTTCCTATAAATATGTAGTTCATTTTCATTATAATGTAACCAGAAGAAGAAGAGATGTAACAATAAAACTAATTTCGTTTCTTTCTATTTATCTTATTTTATTTCCGCATTTTATTTTTCTACATGGTATCAGAGCAGCGTTGCGATCTGGACTATATGTTTTTTTTTTCTAATCTCTTCTTTCTTTAGCGTTTTGGATGTTCATATATCCAAATCGTTTGAAGGAGAGTAAAAATCCAAATTCAAACGATGTGCTATGACAAACAAAATTCAAAGTTAAAAACTCTAAGATCAAGCAAGATGCTATGACAAAAAGAGTTAAAGCTAGAACTTTAAAGTCAAGCGAAGTGATTTGAAAATGATTAATGCTCTTTAAAAGAACAAAATTTGGTTTATGAATTTTTCTTTAGACAATGAAAATGTCTGAGCGGTTTATAGCATTATCGATTCAAGATTGACTTTTTTCATTCTTTCAAAGTCAATCTTGAGGGGGAATGTTAAAGTGAGAAAATGAATATATGATTGGAGTAAAATAAGATTAGAGATATGATGGAGAATAATAATGGATACAATATCATTATACCAAATATTGTGTATCTGATTTGTTTTCATTGTGTCTATATTTCCTTTTTACTCCATTTCTTAATTTTCCTATAAATATGTAGTTCATTTTCATTATAATGTAATTAGAATAAGAAGATATGTAGCAATAAAACTAATTTCGTTTTTTTCTATTTATCTTATTTTATTTCCGCATTTTATTTTTCTACAAACTCCAACAAAAAACAAAGAGTGATCAAGATAATGAAATCACTTCTCTTCTCCTTCGTCTTCCTCCTCCTCTCTGCGGCAGCGTCCACAATTTTCGCCGGGAACGCCACCGTCGATCTCAGTTGCGCCGCCGGAGAATGCATCTCCGGCGAGGAGCTGATTCAGAGATTTCTCGGGTACGACACCAAAAAGTATATAAACTACAACGCCATTGAAGGACAGCCTGTCTTCGATTCGAAGGATGTATACGGCAACAAAATCGGTGTCGTTAATGGAGAACCTGGCGACTGCACTCTCTACAATCGCTGCAAACGTTACCCTATGTAGACCCATTGCGATGTTTGTATCTATATATATGTGTGTGTGTGTTTGTGTATTACTATGGTTTTTAATGCCTCGTTAATGTCTTTATTTTCTTTAGAAAAAATTCTAAATAAATACATAAAATTGTTCAAAAAATACATCAATTTACAATTTTTTTCTAAATTTTTATGCGAATTCTAACAATATTACACAGTTAACGTCGTTCGTATAGGAATTTAGAAGAAAATTACAAATTGATGTATTATTTAGGAATAAAAAATGTAGATATTTATTGATAAGATTTGAACAAATTCATGTATTTTATTTGGAATTTTGTCTTTTCTTTATCGCTTGTGTTTTTTATTTATTTATTTTGAGGGTATTTGTTTATGGGTGTGCCTATAATCTGTGGTGTTACTTATGATGTGTTGGCGACGAACAAAGTGGTATATTTCCTTTATTTTTTAAAATTCGGTTTTTGTAAAATGTAAACCAATTCGAATTTTATGTCATGTTTCGTTCAATTAGGAATTTTTTGGGCTTAATTTATGTCCAAATTACGGAGATGAATTATTTTCTAAAAAATTAGTCTGTTTTTCAGTTCGAATTCAATTGATTTAATTTTAAAATATATTCTTTGATTACGTCATAATATATATAGATAATAGAGTTTGCAGCCATATGAAAATTCTAATTTGTGATAGACAACAGTTGTGGTTCCAATTCAGTAAATCCACCGTAGCATTTTCTTCAACTGGTTTTTTTTTCTTGAGATTCTTGACTTCGTTTCCTTTTATTCTGTAGTTTATTCATATGAAAATACGGAATAAAATGTACAACTCTATAATTGAACTCTTGACTTGATAAATTCACTTTCCAGGTTCATTATAGGAAAAAAAAGGTTAAAATAAACAAAACCTTGAAAATGAAAGTAAAATACATCTATGAAATAGGATGGCTCTTCATTAAAAAAAGAGTGAATATTTCACATTGGCGACAAGCACATGCATATCATTCCCTAACATTTTTATTTCACAACATCAAAATATTTGGCGCTTACCATAATAATAATATATAATAATACAAATACAAGAGCTTGTTTTTTTAATAATTATATTACCGTCCTTTGGGGTCTTTGATCTCGGAAAAGACCGCACCCGAGTTCGAACCAGAAGTCCCCTCGTATCTCAGAAGACTCGTCTCGTCCGTGCCCGTAGATTCCGACACGTGTCCAGTCGTCCGGCTAAACAAGTCATCTCCTTCATCAGTCGTACCCATATCTCCACGTGACATGCTGTAATTGGTTTGCTCCGTCATCACCATCGTATCCACCTCGTCCTCGTTACCATTCTTCGTCGCCGTCTCGTGGAGTTGAAGCGCGAACTGTAAAGCCCAAACGACGTCGTTCATAGTCGGCCGCTCCGTCCCACGGTCGTGGACGCACCTCACCGCGATGTCGCAGAACTTATCCAGCGAAACACGAGTTATATCTCCCGTCAGATACGGATCCACGATCTGGTCAACGGTTCCTCTCGAATGGTTTAGTTTAGCCCATCTGGTTACATCCATTTGATCTGCGTCCAGGCCTGGCATTCTTGCAGGACGACCACATAGGACCTCGAACAAGACAACACCAAATGAGTAGACGTCGGATTTGTCCGTCAATACCTGACGACGATAATACTCAGGATCCAAGTAACCCATACTTCCCTTAACGACAGTGGTTACGTGAGTTTGAGACACACTGGTCGGACCAACTTTGGACAATCCGAAATCCGAAACCTTGGCCACATAATTGTCGTCGAGAAGTATGTTGGTGGATTTGATATCTCGGTGTATGATCGAATGCTTTGCTCCTGTATGGAGATAGTTTAGCCCGTGAGCTGCCCCGATGCAGATCTCCAACCGTTGTTTCCATGGCATGGGAGACTCCGTGTTCCTGTCATTCTTGTAGAGAATATCATTCTTGTAGAGATGGTATCTGAGTGTTCCACGAGGCATGTACTCGTAGACAATAATCATCTCGTTCTCGTCGTCGCAATATCCGATGAGAGATACGAGGTGGACATGACGGAGTTTAGAGAGCAAGTTGAGCTCTGTTTCGAACTCTCTGATGCCTTGGTGTGAGGACGTTCCCAGCCGTTTGATCGCGACGGTGATGGATCCTCCATCGATTCTCCCTTTGTATACGTTTCCAAACCCGCCTACTCCGATGATTAGCTTCTCGTCGAAATCATCCGTGGCGGATCTGATCTCCGAAATAGAAAACCGACGGCAAAGATCTGAGGGGAGAGTAGAGCTCGACTTCGTGGTCGTGGACAGTGTCGTGTAAGAAATCGGATCCATTGAGTCTTTAGGCTTGCTCGTGGTATCTGCACCGTAGTTCTTCCTCTTCCTCTGCCTCCGGCATGTGAACAACATGGCGGTAACCATTATTATAGACAGTCCAAGAACGCAACCAACCACCGCTAAGATGATCACCAAGACATGTGACCGCCCATTTCCTCGCCTCTTCACTGGCCGCGATCTAGGTTCCGGTTCCGGCGATGGAATGGGTTCAGGGTTAGGTCCGGCAATATTACCATCCGTGTTACTCAGCTTGAGGATCTCTACACCGTTAAGAATGGCGTCAGCATATTCGGGCTTGACCTCCATGAACGGATGTAAATCAAGCTGTAGATCACGCCTCTTCTCTCCTCCATTGGACCCCATGAGCGTAGCGAAATCTCGGTACACCGGAATCTTGGAGCCACCGCTCCAATTTATCACGTCGGCGTCTAACACAACACTTCGATTCGTGATGAAGATGGAGAAGACACGTTGTCCACGTTTCGTGACTTCCAGCATAGTCTCGCAGAAATGAAGCCTGACGAGGTAGTTAAATCCGACATCGACTGTGAAAATCCAAGTCAAGTTGAAGTTCAAGTTGAGAAGAGGGTTTTGGGCGTTTCCCATCGTACGGTATGTAGTGTACACCTCCTCCGGCGCAACGTAAGCCGGCGTTTTCGACGTGTAATTGATCCGAACATCGGGCAAGTACGGTGTCTGCCCAGAATTTGGTCCGATGAAGTAACCATCGTTGTCGGAATCCCACCGCCGGAACATACCCGTGTCTCCTAACGCCGTTACCGCCTTTCCTCCGACGTTAACGCGGTAAACGGTCTCAAACGCCGTCGTGTTGTCAATCTCGAAAGCGACGGAGCTATCGACGTTTGTGATGACGTCGTCGAACCCTCCCTTTGTGTACAGTCCATCAGGCATTGAGACGATCTCGATTCCGTTAACGAACGCTAACGAGTTTGCTGACGGCGCGAAGGTCAGATTCAGCGTTTGGCCGTTCAAAACGGGAATGATGAACTCCTTGACTATGGATTTCGACGGCGTAACGGAACCTGCCGCCGTCAGGGACGCGCTGAAATTCCTCATGAGAGAGAAACCGTTGACGGTGACGGCGAAGTAGGAGTTAACGGCGTCGAAATCGGAACCGTACCGGGTCGGGTAGAAGTATAACCGGACGAATTTCCAACCGGGGGAAACCGGAAAGCTGTACCTGAAATCGGATCGGAAAATCCGAGCCGTCATGTATGGAACTTGCTCCACCGAGGGCTCTTGTACGGAAGCCGTCGCCGGGAACGACGAACCGTTGGAGTTCGCCGACAGAAGTCTCCGGTCCTCAGCGGACCAGATTCGGCCGCTTTGGTCGGCGATGTTGGAGCCCGTGGCTCCGCAGTTGACGAGGAGGAGATCGGTCGCGTTGTACGACGCCGCATCTCCGCCGGATACGGCAGCGATGAGGAGGACGACGACGATGAGAGATTTAGAGATCATCGTTGAGACGAAGGGAGGAAGAAGATAAGAAGAGGGTTTGTATACGAGAGACCATGGATCTGGTAAATCACGGGACAACCGTTGACCGCCATGGACGATTTGTTCACTGGTCATGCAAGGAAAATTTGTGGAAATTTCATCTGAGTGTGACTGTGGGGTCGATGACGACGACGACGACGACATACATTTATATAAGGTGGCATAATACATGCAATAATATATTATATATATATAAATTTCCATGGACCGCTCGCTCGTTATCCATGGAAACCCCACTCTTTAAAACAAAACAACAACTCAAGGAGAAAATTGTTCGTTTTATGTTACAGTCTTCTCAAACAAAACTTTTATTTCGGGTTTGGCCCAATCCATACGATCCATGGACCGTAAAAAAAAAGTCTGATTTCTCTAAAAAGCTTCCAACTTTCGAATCTCTTCTCCTCTAGAATGAGTCATGACTCCCCTTTCAAAACCCACGATTGCCCAGAGAAATTTCGTGATCCGTCATCACTCTCCCATGGCGGCTAATCGTCTAGACGGCGATTCCCGCCTTCCGGGGATCCCTCCGCTGCAAGGACGTCGGATTCTGTCGGCCGTTAACCCGGACGGTTCTTATGTTGAACGACGGGGTCTTGCATATATTTATTGGAATCTAAGATTAAGATATAATTTTCTTGGCTGATAAAAGAATTGTTTTGTAAATTAATTGGATCATGATTTCCACTCAAATCCCAAATCATAGTACAAATCACTATTCGAGAGGGTCCATTCATTATGTGGCGACGTGGGCTTTTGGGGTTCGTGTGAGTGAACACTGGAACACAACAAGAGCTCAGCCTTCATTCATTGAAAGGAATCATCCAAGTTCCAACAAAAAAAATCGAAATAAACGTTTTTTATTAATGGCATTGCGATTAATATTTATGGATAAGGTTTCACCCCGTCGAACGAGTCTTCTTCTACAGACTCACCGAAGAGCGGCGTGAGGAACGACGAACTATTAGGTTATACGAAAGCTCCATTAGAACTTCCTCCACCACTTGTTGATTTGATTTTTTTAATTACACTCTTCAAAAAAACCCTTTTTTTTTGCAAGTCAATGGGCGCTAACGTCTGTCCGCCATATAAAAAAAATTGTGGCTTTTTGTAGATCACAAGTCCTGCTGTTTTATATGTTGCAACCTTAGATTCTTACAGACACGTAGAAACCCAGCAAAATTTTTTTTTTTTTTTGTTCAGATGGGTAAGAAGAAGCTGCTGTCTGGTGCGTCAAGCACGGCCCATGGTAGTGGAAACTACAGAGCTCCTCTGTTGCAGAACGAGGTTTGTTTGTTTTTTCCTTCCTTTCTAGGGTTTTCGATTCTGATGCTTCTGACAACTATATTGATGATAACATGTTCCTTTTTCCCTTATTCCTGAAGATTTCACGATCTGAGTCTCGAAAGGTTGTCGTTTTCTCCCGCGATTTCTGGAAATTTTCTAAAAGTTGTTCAAGATTCCTCCTTTTTTCCTTCTGGGTATCTAGTTCAGACCAATCCGAAAGTTTGCGTGACAGATTTTAGGTTAGGCATGAATTCGGATGAGTACTACGATTTAGGGTCCAAGGAACGATCCAGTTGTTCAACCAGGAGCTGGTTTCAGATCGTTTTGACTGCAAAAGAAATGTACTTTTGAATAGGGTTTTGATTTATCAGATACCTTAAGAGTTTCTAATTCATGTTATGCTAAAAAGCTCGAAAATTTCTTACGATTCATGGACATTAATGCACAGAAAAATCTTTCATGTTTTAATCTGTAAATTGGGCATCTTGATGTTTTTTTTTATACTGTGTTAGTAGTACAGACTATAGAGTTGGATTAAACAAACTAAGCCTGCTTCTGAGATAGAACGCGAAACAAGGCAAAAGAGGTTTTCACATTTCTTCACCTTGCTCAGGACAAAGAAAAAGCCAACGGCGAGCACTTGGGCAATGGCCCTAATGATCTGGAGCAAGGCGGTGGAAACGAGGTATTTGCTTTGCCTATATGTTCCGTCGCGTTCTTTGACAATTTTCGTCTTGAAAAAACTGGATCATCTGGTTGGTCTTCAGGCTGCAAATGTCGGGTTTGGCAGAGTCTTTTCGTTGGTGAGTGAACGTTTTTTTTAGTTGTGTCATAAATGGCATTAGAGTTCAATACAAATCCATGCTGATGATGGTCAAATGGTTACATGCAGGCAAAGCCTGATGCCGGGAAGCTAGTGATCGGTACCGTTGCTTTACTGATAGCTTCTACAACTAATCTCCTCGTCGTATGTTTAACGCCCTTTCTGATCATGTTTCATCTCTGAATCTTGAGTTTCCATTCTTTTCCCCCCTCTCTGTCATCATTGTATAGGGAATGACCAAAATATATTTATTGTACTGGAAATCTTCATTCATATATATTGAGAACTGACGCAAAAGTGTTCTATTTTTGCAGCCAAAATTTGGTGGGATGATTATAGACATAGTATCCAGAGATATCAGGAAACCCGAAGAACAGACAGAGGCCTTGAATGCTGTTAAGAGCGCCGTTATAGTCATTCTGCTGATCGTTGTAATTGGGTACAGTTTACGTTTTTCTCCTCAAATGTTTCTTGCTACGAGAATTTTACTTGGCCTCTGTTCGATCTTTAGCTCTATCTTGTTCTTTTTTCGTGAACCAGCCCGTCATTTTAACCATTATATTAACAGCTTTTTTTTCCCGATTTCGTTTGTTCATATACCTTTTGCGGAGCATGGCTTTGTTCCTTCTGTAACATGTTTGTTTCGCTTCTTTCTAGATCGATTTGCACAGCTATTCGGGCATGGCTATTTTCTTCTGCCAGTGAGAGGGTCGTTGCCAGATTACGGAAGGATTTGTTCGAACATCTAATGCATCAGGTTTGCTAAAAGAATTTTCCGAATACTCGTAGTTATGATTTCGTTTCCTGCTGCTTTGATCTTGTTGAATCATCCATGCATTCTATGTTACTCTCAATTCCGTCTCCCGAGCTAAAAAAATCTTTCCCCCGTTTTATTTTTTTCGCCACAGGAAATAGCATTCTTTGATGTCACCAAAACTGGAGAACTCTTAAGCAGACTATCTGAAGACACCCAGATAATAAAGAATGCTGCCACGACGAATCTTTCTGAAGCCCTTCGGAATGTAACGACCGCGTTTATCGGGATCGGCTTCATGTTTACATCGTCGTGGAAACTAACATGTAAGAATCACGTTTTCGTCTTTGAGATTTCCGTAAAATCTGCACTCTCCTTCGATAGAACAGACTGACACATCGTGTTTTTATCTGTGTTTTAGTGCTGGCTTTAGTGGTAGTTCCGTTAATTTCGATCGCTGTGAAGCAATTCGGGCGTTATCTCCGTGAGCTTTCTCACAAAACTCAAGCAGCCGCAGCTGTTGCTGCATCGATTGCTGAGGTTTTCTTTCGCTGTTCATATCGTCAAATCATTTGCTAGTCGAGTTTTTTTGGAAAACTTTCGAACTTTGTTTTGGATCGATATGTAGGAGTCTTTTGGAGCAGTTCGGACGGTTAGATCTTTCGCCAAAGAAGCTTACATGATATCACAATACTCGGAAAAGGTCGATGAGACTCTAAAGCTCGGACTCAGACAAGCTGTGAGTTTTGCGACATAAACCTGTATGTTATTTTCTTCAAAAGATTTAACTTCTTTTTGCGTTTTAGATTTATATTTCTCGGGTGAATAGGTATTGGTCGGGCTGTTCTTCGGAGGACTGAATGCCGCTTTCACGTTATCCGTCATCGTCGTGGTTAGTTATGGAGCGTACTTAACGATAACTGGCTCCATGACTGTCGGCTCCCTCACTTCGTTCATTCTTTACAGCCTCACCGGTAAATTCTCTCTTCCGTAAAATATGCTCCATTTTTTCCTCGGGGTCGGGATCTTGGCTCCTGATATGGAACCTCGGATAACGTCCATATAACTAAGATATCGTTTTTATCTGCAGTTGGGTCGTCAATATCCTCGTTGTCGAGTCTGTACACAACGGCGATGAAAGCTGCGGGAGCAAGCAGAAGGGTTTTCCAGCTCTTGGACCGAGCTTCTAGCATGCCGAGCTCCGGGAATAGATGCCCTGTCGGGTGAGGTTCCTCTCGTGTTCTTGCCATACTATATCCGAAACCCGAAACCCTAAAACCTTTTTCTACATCTTGAAACAACCTTGTGATGTGACCAAGAATTCTCATTGCAGTGATCCTGATGGAGATGTGGAACTAGATGATGTCTGGTTTGCTTATCCTTCTCGTCCCAGCCATATGATTCTCAAGGTAACGCAATTCTTCGTGCTCGTTCGGAAACCGGACGTTACTAGATCCCATTCTGACACGATAATACCTATATTCCTCAACCTCGAGCTGAACCTTTGTTAGAATGATGGATATTATCACCTTAGTCTGAAACCCTAAACCAGGCTGAAAACGGTGAATATTTTTTTGCAGGGCATATCATTGAAGCTGACACCGGGTTCTAAAGTTGCACTCGTCGGACCGAGCGGTGGTGGAAAAGTTAGTTTTCTCGTTCACACGTTAAAGCTTGTCGTCGAAATGTATCAGAATGTTTTTTGCAGTATACTTTTTTTCCTGCCATCTGCAGACGACGATAGCCAACTTGATCGAGAGGTTCTACGATCCTATGAAAGGGAAGATTTTGCTGAACGGAGTATCTCTGATCGACATTTCCCACGAATATCTTCACAAAAAGGTAAATCTTTCTTCCCTTTCGTCGAGCTTTCACGTCTCTCTCCGCAGCAGCGGAATCTTGATTCTCTCTGATTGCTTCGTTTCAGATCAGCATAGTGAGCCAAGAGCCGGTTCTTTTCAACTGTTCGGTGGAAGAGAACATCGCTTACGGGCTCGAAGGAAAAGCCACTCTCTCCGAGATCGAAAACGCAGCTGTAAGCTCTACATCTCGCCACTCGGGTTATCGGGATTATCTCTCCTTCAAACGCCTGCCTAAAAATGAACTGGATGTTTTTGGCAGAAAATGGCAAATGCACATGAATTCATAGAAACTTTCCCGGAGAAGTATAAGACCGTCGTAGGAGAACGAGGGTTACGGCTCTCGGGAGGGCAGAAGCAGAGGATAGCGATCGCCAGGGCGCTTCTTACGAACCCTAGAGTTCTGCTCTTGGATGAAGCCACCAGCGCTCTCGACGCGGAAAGCGAGTATCTTGTTCAGGTAACGTATAGATCGAACTTAAGATGAGGTATTTATTATTTTGTTCAAGTTTTTGGGAGTAAGTTCCGGTCAGATTACCCGATCTCGACTTCAAGAGTCGGATACCTGGTCGACGAGAGCAAGTGCGAGGTTGAGGAGGATGAGGAAAGAGAGAGTTAGGGCGGGTGAAGGTGAAGGGGGGAGAGAGACGAACCGGGTCCGAGGAACGAGCAGCGAGGTGAGGCTCTCGGCTATTGCCCCCTCGCTCTCTCTTCCTCTCTCCTTTTCTTTCGACGAAAAATTGAATCCGAACCGAATAATACATAATAGTAACCGAATCGAATTCAATATAAAAGCAGAATGGTTATAATATTTTTAAAACTAGAAGATCGAATCCGAACTGAATATAAAATTTGAAGTCAATGATTTTTTTTTCTAACATGAAACAAATGGATATAGATTTTCTAAAACTTAAAAAGTTAAACCCGAATAAAATTGAACCGAAAACCGACGTTCCCATCCCTATTTGTTGCCCCTAAGCTTCTCGGTTATCAGCTTCTGAATCTAAAAACGTCATGGAGGAAATCCTAAGCCTTACCTCACCCGCGATACCGTCAACTCCCTCGCCCTCTCGGCTCTTGCCCCAGCGCCCTCTCTTCCTCTATCTCAGAGTACTCATGGGTACGGGTACTCCCCGACTGAAACGTGAACCCCGTATGGACGGGTACCCGAAATCGATTCATGGGTGAGACGGGTACACGGAATTAGGGTTATAGAGAGATAGTAAGCAGTTGAAAATGCAGGACGCAATGGATTCGCTGATGAGGGGCAGGACGGTGCTGGTGATAGCGCACAGGCTGTCGACGGTGAAGAGTGCAGACTGTGTGGCCGTCATCTCAGATGGCCTCATGGCCGAGAGAGGCACCCACGACGAGCTTCTCTCCTTCAACGGCATCTACACTCATCTCGTCAAGCGTCAGCTCCAGAGCTCACCCGACTTGTTGTAATCATAACATAGCATTTGTTCCTCTCTTTTTTTATTCAGAGGCTCTAATAATCACTGATTAAAATAATTTCGAATGCAATTTCATGAACCTCAGTTTGTGTTTTTTTCACTCTTTATTTCTCGTTATATAGATTGCCAATTAATTCTGTAAAATAAAATTTCAGTAGTTCTCTAACGTCTGGCACACTGTTTTCTAACATGTTTAAACTGAAGATGATAATAAAACTTGTATGCAAATTCTATAAAATAAAAGATGATGGCCAATATCAAGAACATTAAAAAATAAAATAAAAGGATGAATAAAACATTGAATTGAACCAAGGGAATGGACCCATGAGAGGAATTTTTCAGATGATTACAAACAAGAAGTCACCAAAAACGGGTGTGATGATATCCAACATGGCATGTGTTAAAAAGTTCATCCCAAATAATTGTCGATTTATATATATATATATATATATACCTTTTTTTGTATCTGTTTTATCTTTATAGATTTTCAATCTTTTGAGGACATTGAAAGATGCAAAGAACTTGGTTAATCTCTATTTGAGCATGTCCTTTTTAAAAATAATGTTATGAACATTAACCCTCATTCGTATATGTGGGTGTATATATATGTATATATAATATGATGATGGAGCTAAAATGCCAGCTTTCACTGCATAAGAAAGAATCCCACTTAGCTGACAGACTCCACATGCTCAGGTCCACTCTACATTCTTGGCCCCACACTTTTCCCATTATTCTCTTTTGTCCGCTTGCTTCCCAAATCCCACATTTTTAGACCCACAACTTTTTCTTCTTGCAATCTCGTCCTCTTCTTTGTTTGCCATTACAGCTCAAGGCTCAAACACCCCATCCCGGTTAGGTATTATATATCATATCACTTGAAGACAAATCATCGCTTCATATTTGTTCGTACATATAAAACCGAACCCAAGAGAATCGGGACCATTTTTTACATTAACCAGAAGGTCATAATAAATAGATTTTCAGATCTGATAAAGAGTACACATGCCCATATCCAACTCTTTTCTTCTTGCATTCATTTGACACCAATCATAATGGCTTTTCTCATACAAGATTTCTCTTTCTATACATATATAGATCGGTCTATTTGTGTGTATGCATGTATACCCACTTTGTATCATATGAGTATAAATATACACGACTAAAAAGAAACCATCAATAAGGGAGAAATACCAATACTAGTCTCGTCCAAGTAAATGGTTCAGAATTATTCATATGAGATATTTCTTTTTTTTTTGGATAGCCAGTACATTTACTGGGTTTTCGGCCCAACTAATCCGTTAGATCCATAGTCAGCCTTTAGAATAATTAAATTGCCCCTCCTCTCCATCTATGGAATCGAACATGGGACTTCTAGGGCAAGTGGTTCCCAAACCGTTTATACTACTAAGACTATAACCACTAGACCACTACAAGATGGGAATGGAAAACATCTTGCATATATAATATTTTGATATGCGCTCTGAGTGTATGTATAGATGAAGAAATGGCGAAACATACCTTCATATATGCTGATTAGCAATCTGCAAACGCATTGTCATAGAAAGAAAGAGAAAAGAATAATACCCATCTTTCTTCTGCTCAGAATTTACCAATGAAACATCAAAGCTCTGCAGTCACACTGGTTCCTCGGCATTTGAACCATTCTAATCTCTTCTTGTGAACTGAAGAATCATCCAATGTACATTACTAAACTAATCATCAACTAATCGAAATCTCTCGGGAGTTTTCGTAGTAAATGCATGCTCATTATGTGTAATAGCCATTGATTAGTTTAGAACACCGTATAATCAGTTTTATCTTCTCTGTCCGGGAAGTACTCAAATCATTGTTTCGGGGGACCGACACTATTGAATGTTTTAAAGCATTGGAATCTTTAAACATTTACTATTTTTCCATTTTGCATAAGAGACATAAATCTTCAATGTTTCATGAACACTTACCTCCCTGCAAATAGCTAGAAGATTACGATGTGGGGTTTACTGCATCTCCCCTTTAACTTTCAAGCCTGTCTCCTTCATTCTCTTTTAAACCATCTCTGAAAATTCTCTGAAACCCTAAAAAGAAAAAAGGAAAAAAAAAGACCAACCAACACTTAGAGCAAAAAAACAGTACTTTGTTATGTGCTGTAGATCATCCAAGCATCAGTGAAATACTTCTCAGACAGGGAAAAAAACACAAAAATGTCTGCAAGAATTCTGTACGCCTTATCTGATGAAAATCCAGCTATTCGTAACAAGACTGAAGGCTGCCGTCAGCTCCATAGCGTACAAAATGCCAGCTTCGGCCACCATACAAAGCTCACACCAGGTATTCATGAAGCCTTATCTAATACCATTTATATACCAATAGATATAGTAACCATATAGAAGAACATTAGCTTATAGTGCATTGTGATTTCTTCATCTTAATGGTCTTTGCTTGTAGTTCCTGTCCCAAAGAATCTAGCAATCTCTGATTCAAGTTTATCAGGTTTTGAAGTTCTTATGATCCTTCAAACCTATGAATTTTCAAAGAACGAGCTGGAATTTAAACCAATGAATTACCATGCTTCAATGTTATTGCACTCCCATCTTCAAGTAGCTAAACTTTGGCACTTTTTCCTCAGGACAAAGACAAGCCAGCACATCTGGAAGACAAATAAGTAGAGCTATGCATGAGGTTACGGTAAGAATCTAGAAAATTAATGTTTATGGAGTTTGTGAAAGATTAAATAACCTTACCATATTTCAGGAGAAACCAACGTCAAAGGCTGCAAACAAGAGCCAGAGAGCCCCTTCTTTGTCATCCAGAAGCTCTGTTTCCTCTTCACGGAGTCTGTCTAGTTTCTCATCTGCTGATACCTATCACAGAACCTCTCAACTAGATCCACCTTTTTCTGGAAATGGAACGTTCCATGAATCACGTCATTGGAGTAGGAACTCAAATGGCCTCCGGGATGTTGTTAAGGACGCCATCCACAGAGAAGCACGAAGGGTAAAGACAAGGAGCACGAGTGAAGATGGAAAAGGCCCCTCAACATTGAATTGTATAGATTCTCCTAGGCCATTAGCTCAATCCAAATTCACAAAGAACCGAGTTTACTCTTACGATGGATCATATTGGACCATACCACTCAAGGACAGGTCTCGATTCTCCTCCGACAAAAGCGAGATGAGACCCACTTCTATTATGAGGTTGCAAGAGCAGCCAAGGCATTGCGGCAGACAAAACCATCGCTTGGAATATGAGCACAAGCAAGGTAGGAGGATCTCCTGCTTCCTGAACTGGCAGCGAGAGCCGGAAAGCCGTGGGAGAACATCAGGTGTTGTGGCCAGGCTAATGGGGATTGAAATGCTTCCTGAACCTGATTCCATGCAAAGATTCTCAAGAACACATCAGAATAAGCAATACCGCCTTACTAGTTCCCTGAAGCACACTAACTCTGAAGCAGCTAAACCTGGAGTGAACACTTCTGATCACAAGAAAGCTAGTAGCTCTACCCCCAAATCAACATCAAATGCACTCCTGAAACTCCCCAAGAGACATTCGAGCAGCGAAAAATTTAAACAGAAGCAAACAGAAGATGATTCAGCTTCAAGTCCTAGCCTTCGTAGAGGAAGTTCCAGTCAACCACTTCACAACTTGAAGAAGAATTCTAGTCTGAGACCAATAGAAAAGGCACGGGCTCTCGGAGGGCATCACTCGCCCATCTCTGAGTCCGCTGAGAGGCCAAGAAATCATAGTCTTCAGCAGAAGAAGAAGAAGCAAGGTATGGATCAGAAACATCGTCAGGCCATTCCTTCGACCGACTCAAGCAAAACGGCACGACATTATAGTAAAGGACCAAAGAAATCCGGCGGCTCCGCCATCCAAAACCTCAGAGCAAGAATCCCTATTCCGAAGCAACCAAAGAGCGGAACAAATCAGATAGATCATTTCACCAATGCTGTTGTTACACCAAAATATGAGTTTGAGAAAGCCAGAGACACTTCTGAACAATATACTCCTAAACAAGAGGTGAGAAAAAAAAACTCGTTACTTCTGACACTTGTAAGTAGTGAACTCCATACCTAAAACAGTCTATTGTGTGTATTCAGAATTCTAGCCCAGGAGTTGGAGAAGAAACGGCGAGGCCAGACCCTTTGGACCTAGTCCAGGAACAACCGAGCCCTGTTTCTATTCTCGATGTGGTTTTCTACGATGATGAGCCACTGTCTCCTTTGAAGAAGATAACAAATGCATCCGATGGTAAGACACTTACATTTTAACATTTCTTTCTCAAAATTAATGAACTTTGGAAAGCATTGATGGATCCTACAAGGTATTAACACTACTAAATCAGCCTAAGGAACTAGAAACACCATAGGGAAACCCTCGCGCAGCATATCGACAAAGGTAAAATAATTTACTTTAAGGCGGTATCTAACAATTGAACCCAGATGAAAAATATAAAACGGTTGCTTCTAGTTCAGCAAAAGAAGAGCTTTAGCAATCAAACCGGAATTGAGTGAACCATGATAGCTACAATTTCCATAGATGGAATGACAGGACAGTCCACGTAACTGAATTTATTTAAAATGTTCTTACTGCAGATGAGGAGCACCTTAACTCCAAGGAAACAAGCTGGAACCGAGAGGATCAAAGTGACTTCTGCCACTCCAGAGCCCCCAGCCTATCATCTGAGAATGGTCCAAACATTCTGCTTGCCAACTCAACTCCAGAAGAAATTTTCGTCCAAGAAACAACGGTCCTATATGGGAGTAAACATAAAGAACATAAATATATATCAGATATATTATCAAAATCAGGTATCCTTGAAGATCCTGAATCCAGCTTGAAAAACCCACAGATTCAACCTTCACGTCTTCCACTCGATCCTGATCTTTTCCTTGCCCTTGAACAACACGAGGTGCACATGGAGGTTCCAAGAGATGGGGTGAGATATAACAGGTCATGCCAGACACAAGACTCGGAGAAGATGAAACGAAAACTTATATTTGATACTGTCAATGAGATTCTGGCACAAATGATTGTTTCCGAAGGACTGTTCAAGGGACACATCCAGCTAAGGATACTCTCAGGCGAAAGGGTCAAAGGACACATGATTCTGCAAATTGTATTTTCTGAGATAGACTGCCTACAAGCTCATAAATCAAACTGCACACTCCATGATGAAGGTTATAGCCTGAAAAGCATCTTCCGGGAAGATCTTATGTATCGAGAACGAGAATGGACAGACTTACAGGGAGAGATCCCCAGCATCGCATTGGATGTTGAGAGGCTGATCTTCAAAGATCTAATAAGTGAAATCATTAGTGGCGACAGAGAAGCTAACAAAGCAAGACCCTATAAGCATCACAGAAGACTGCTTTCTTACAAAAGATTTCTTCCTTGACGGTCCCGGTTGAGGTAAAAATTCCGTTTAGTCCCTCTGCCAGTTCATCAAGCCAAGAAGACAGCTTCACCTTTGGGGAAAAAGAAAATTACATTGGTCGGGCAAGAAATAAGCAGTCCAGTTTTTTTTTAGCTGCTAACCCCAAACAAGTTTTGACCAATTCCCATCATTGGTCATTGAATGAAATAAGATGCACGAAAATGTTAGAAATCTGGAGGAAAAACAACGGAAAAAAAAAACAAGAACGAAATCGAACCGAGGGACCGGATATCTCTTCAAGGCGTGTGGACACTTTCCTAAAACCGTTATTCTGTCCGTTCTGAGCAAGGACTACCGGAATACGATTCTGAGATACAATGAAGAGAAATACGTTCTAGAATTGCTCGTTCAAGAACGCACAGACAAGGAAATAGGAAGAAAAAGATGAACAAAAGCTTTCGGGAGAGTTTTTGCAAGAAACTTCCGAAAGTGGTCTCAAAAATCTCTCAATTAGGATTAGATTTTGTACCCAACCTGTTCTGGCATTTTTAGTATATCAAATGCTAAAGGACATCAACAAAAGTTGTAAAATCTGTAGTTTTCATGCGAAGAATCGCATCAGTTCGTGTTTCAGCAAACTGACACGGTCCGAGTTACTTCTGACTCGGACCGAGTTACTTCTCACACACTTTTAACACGGACCGAGTTACACTTGACATGATCCGAGTTGCTTCTGACTCGGGCCATGTCAAATTTCTGTGCAAAACGAATTTTTACTCAGACAATCAACACGGTCCGAGTTAAGTCTAACACGGACCGAGTTACATTTCGTTTTCGTCATGTAGACTGAGTTCTACTTCACTCGGATTGAGGTATACCTCACTCACGAGTCGAACAACTTTACTGCCAAACACATATGTGTTTCACCGATCCATATTATATCATTTACGAATATTTAACTCCTCCACCATATCCGTAATATATATAATTGTGAATCTCTTGAGAGATTATTAACAAACCCCATTCATTTAATCTAAAAATTACAACAGAAAACCCACAAGTTTATCTCAAGCTATCTAACACCTATTACCATTCACATACATATAGAGGACCTTAAGGATGCGCAAAACTATCAAGAATCACCCTTTTTAACATAGAAGCACCATCCTCGTCGTATCATGTTCACAAAAATGATACAGAAGCACATGATCATAATCTGGGTCTGGTTTGGTACAAAAACATATAAAGCTCGGTGTCAAAGCAAGATAGAAGCTAGCAAGAATAAACTACTAAAAGGCGGAAAATTGAAGGCTGACAAAACGAAGAGCACAACTATCTATAAATTCACCCATTTAGCATATCAGTCATAAAAGAGAAGAAGAAGATTCCATTGGAAAGAATTATTCACTTGCAAGAAAACACATACAGCCACATGCATATGACTCGGAGCTGTCATGGAGGGATAGCAAGGGGAAGCCTTCTGAAGATCCTGATTCCTAAAACACAGACCCAACGATTTTCCCGCGATACCCAATTTTGAATTTCATTGGAGGCCACTTGTATTCCTGGATCAAACATTTCATGCAGAACATGATCCTTAATGGAGTTTTTCAGCAGATCAGAACTCATCGTCTTCGTTTCAACAGAAGGGAAACCAAAATGCTTCAACCACAAGTTATGATCCCTCTTCACCGACCCATTCCAATTTTTCATTCGTCGTCCAACCATTGAATCAGAATGCTAAATTACCGCAACCAAAGTTATCACCTCCATTGCTCATTTCCCTTACCTCATATTGGTTCAAAAAAGCGCGGGCGTTGCCAGTTACAGGAAGCGGCATGAGGCGCGCCTCCATCCTGATTGAGGCGTTTGAAGGAAAGTAACCAAAAACAAAAATAATTCTTCAGAAAAGGAAACTGAAGAGCCGGCGACAGAAACCCTTATTTGACCAAGAGAGAGAGAGAGAAAAAACACACACATACCCCCAGACGATCGACTGGGATTTTTCTTTGATCAACACGACGGCGACTGGGATTTTTTGAGAAGGAAGACAGGGGTTTTCCTTTGACCTAACGACTGGTAAAGCAGTTTCTGGATCTTTTTTATTCATCTTCCTCCATCTTAGTTGCCTTCCATTTTTCGATTGTCGGTTTCTTCTATCAATATGTGTAAAAGGGCTCACGTAGGGGAATTTTACTCAAAGAGCCACTTGGTTCGCACACGTGTACACCAGAAAAAACATAACACTTTTTTTTCGTATGAAAAGACGAAATTACCCTTAATGAATACGCGATTTTTATCCGTTCAAAAACAACTTCGTTATTACAACTTCGTAATTAATTCTAAATATAGTTACAATTGATTCTAAAAAAGGTGACAAAAAAATCATCTGTCTTATTTTAGTGGTATATCAGTTATATATTAGTCGTAATAAGGTCGCAAAAAATAAAACGAAAAGGATATTTCGGACTTTTCCAACCGAAAAGTGGGTTAAAATTGAAAAAAAAAAAAAATTTTTTCGGTGGTGTACACTGAAATTGCTGCGACCCAAGTGGGTTATTTGAGTAATATTTCCCTCACGTAGACTTGTAAAGTCGCTCCATTATTATTATTATTATTTTTATATAAACGATAAAACTTTAATCAATTACACTTTGTCCAATCTATTATAAGAGACACCAATCTTATCTACCATTAAAAGTTGAACCATTTGGGGAGGCAGAGCTTCAAAGAGAGTGAGACCACAAGGTAGCGTATGTCCTATGAAAGCTAGATGATCGGCACATGAATTAGCTTCTCTGAAGATATGGTTTAATGATATGTTCCAAGGCTTCCTTAAATACTCTTGAATCTCAGCAATCATAGATCCTTCAATTGAAGATTCCCCTCGATAATTTTGGATAGCGGTAATCAAGACCTGGTTATCCACCTCTACCGCGATTTTTCTTGCCCCACGATCCCAAGCCAATCTTAGACCAAGAAGGAGTCCCCAAGTTTCGGCTCTGAAAACTGAACATATCCCAAGGTTCGAAGAGAAACCCACCAGCCAATTACCCCAATGATCTCTAATCATACCTCCTGTTGAAGCAAGACCAAGATGACCCCGAACACTTCCATCCGTATTAACTTTCACTACTAATCCAATCGGAATTCAGACCGATAAGTTGTTGTAACGTTATCTACAAAATCATTTCTACCATTCTTGCTCAGAGACTGAAGAAAATCATGCAGACTGTGATCTCTGGAAATCAGGTAGCCTTTGTGCGGGGTCATCTAATGCTGGAAAATATCATGTTGGCTACGGAACTTGTTCGTGACTACAACCGTAAGGGCTGCGGAAAAGTGCAATGATTAAGTTGGATATACGCAAAGCTTTTGACACTTTAAGCTGGGAGTTTATCTTGAGGATACTAAGGGCTATAGGGCTACCGATGATGTTTGTCAACTGGGTCAAAATGTGCATCACTACCCCTAAATTCTCCATATCACTGAATGGTGAATTAGCGGGGTATTTCAAAGGCAGACGTGGATTGCGACAGGGTGATCCACTATCACCCTATCTTTTTATATTGTCCATGGAAGTGTTATCTCGCATGCTAGACCGAGGGGCTGCAAGCAAGCTCTTTAAGCTCCACCCCCGATGCCAAATTCCCGTCATCACTCACCTCTCCTTTGCTGATGACGTCATGATCTTCTCAAATGCTGACATAAGTTCTGTCCTGCAAATTAAACGAATCCTGAGCAGCTTTAGTGAGTACTCGGGCTTGCATATAAATCCTTTGAAGTCTGAAATATTCATGGGTGGTGTTGGAGAAGAAGAGAAAAGCCAGATCTCCGCAAACTTAGGGTTGAATCTGGGATCTCTCCCAGTCAGATACTTGGGTGTACCTCTAAGCTATTCCAGACTCTCCAAACGGGACTACAAGCCGCTGATTGACAAAATCAAAAGTAAGATCGAGCATTGGGCAAACAAGAGCCTTTCATATGCTGGGAAGATTAAGCTCATATCTTCTGTTGTATATGGACTCATCAACTCATGGAGCATGATCTTTCTGCTACCGAAATTTGTGTTGAAGCAAGTCGATAGCTTATGTTCTAATTTTCTCTGGAAGTCCAACTCGTTGGGAAGGTCACGAGCCAGAATTGCATGGGAAACTGTTTGTCTACCCAAAGAGGAAGGGGGTATTGGTCTGCGCAAACTGGTTGACTGCAATACGGTGTTTCGGCTAAAACTCATTTGGTTGTTATTTACTAAATCAGGGTCGCTTTGGGTGGCATGGACTAGGAACAATATTTTCAAGCAGCGGGGGTTTTGGGACACAAGCGAGACAGTGTCTTCATCCTGGAATCTCAGGAAACTTATGGCGATATAATCCTTGGCTCACAATTTTATCAAAGTGAAAATTGGAGATGGCAAATCTACCCTTTTCTGGTATAACTGGACCTCTCACGGTCCCTTGATTGAGTTTGTCGGGGAACTTGGGCCCCGTCTCTTGAGGTTGAACAGATATGCGACGGTTGCCGATGCTGTGTCTGCTGGAAATTGGTCACTTCCCCCGGCTAGATCGGACAGCATACAGGAGCTTCTTATCTCGCTGGCGGAAGTCCGACCCCCATCGGCAGAAGCTGGGGACGAAAGTTTGTTGTGGAAACATGAAGCTCACGACTTCAAACGCTTCTTCTCGTCTGCCAAAACGTGGAAGCAGATCCGTCAATCAAAACCGAGGGTTGAGTGGCATTCATTGGTATGGTGTCGTGGGTCTGTACCTAGGTATGCATTCTTACTTTGGCAGACCATGCAGCAGCGACTCCCTACTAGGGATCGATTGCGTCGATGGGGTCTACAAACGGATGACAAGTGCGTGTTATGTGGAGTAGAGGAGGAATCCCACCACCACCTTTTCTTCGAGTGCTCTTATAGTGCCAATCTATGGCTCTATTTTGCTTCTTGCTGTTGGAGTTCGCCGCCGGATAATCTATACGACTGTCATTCTTGGATTACTCAGGCTGGAAATGACAGGGGCAAAAACAGGGAAATTCTCTCGAAACTGATCCTACAAGTGACGGTACATCTGCTGTGGAATGAGCGTAACAACAGGATATTTTGGAACATAACGAAGCCGATAGATATATTGCGTAGGCGCTTGGATAAGACGATGCGGAACTTACTACTCTCGATGAAGGAGAGGAGGGCTACAGACAACAATTTTCTGCTGGAGCATTGGTATTTCCTAACTGATCGTTTGAGAATGTAACTTTTGTTGTAGCGTCTGGGTTACTTTACTCTGGGTTACTTTAGTCCAGCTTTTGAATCATTTTGTCATGGGATCTCCTTGTATTAGGTTGCTACGAGCAGTCATAGTTAAGGACTGGATGTAAATTTTTGCTACTACACATATGAATATTCAATCACATTTTACCAAAAAAAAACTTTCACTACATCGGGCTGAGGTGCCGTCCAGTAAATGTACCTCTCCATTCTGGGTCGTTTTGTGGAGGCTATCGGGTTAGCTGTTTCGAGTTCATGAATTTGCTTAGCATACCCGAGTATTATCTGTTCCATTCTCTTGGGATGACCTCTATGTTGAAAGATTAACTCATTTCTCCAACGCCAAAGAAACCAACAAGTAATCCCAAAAATACCGCTCCATGACAACAAGTGAAACTTCCATCTGCTATTCAGGTTACTCTCAAACCAGTCCAAGAATCCGCTCGAGAAGAAAGCCGATTGATCCGAGGAGTTGACAAGCTTCGTACATATTTGTCTCGCTATCCTACAATCTCTTAACACGTGTAATACAGATTCTTCCTGCAAACAGCCCATGGGACAGTTTTTATTGTGACCAATATTTCGTTTCACTCTTTCGAAATTGGTCATAAGCTTCTGATGCAATACAAGCCAGAGGAAGACTCTTATTCTCTCAGGACCTTTCCATCTCCACACTTTCAACCAGATTGAGGAAGAATAATTCTTTATATCTAGACATAAATACATATAAGCACTTTTAACTGAACAACTTCCATTTTGAGAACCACTCCATATTATCTGATCCGTACCTGCAAACTGTCTAGGAGGGGGTTGACTCGCAATTCTTAGACACGTGGCATGAGGAATGAGTGTTGCAAAATTATCCCATATCCACGACCCCTCGGTAGATACAAAATCCACCACTGATATCGGAGAAATACAAGCACGTATTTCCTCCTGCACATACCCTATTAGAGGTTTATCTCTCTCAACCCAATTATCACGCCAGAAATCTGTATTCTTTCCATCTTGTACCAAGTTTGCACAACCACCCCTCATTGACTGCCACATCGATTTTATGCCTTGCCAAATGATCGAGCCACGTATTTGCATCTTAATAATTGGACCCATAACTCATCATTGCATGTAAGGAATTTGAACGCCAATTTCATCAGAAAAGCTCTATTAAATCTTTGCATCGATCGAATACCAAGTCCACCGCAACTTTTAGGCGAGCAAACTAATCCCCAATTCACAAAATAAACTTTTAAGAAAAAAAAAACCCAAGAAAACTATAAAATATGGTAAACAATGGATCTTTTCTTGGGTTTTTTTTTTCTTAAAAGTTTATTTTGTTAGTTGATTAATGTAAACCCTAACATTCCAATAATAATTTACATTCTACCTTTAAAAAACAAAAATCACCAAAAAATTCTGATTGACAAATCACCAAAAGTTTCTGATTGAAAGTTTTTTTACAGTAAAACTTTGTAATGTATATATATATATTCAGATAATACTGATCGTCTTCTTCCTTTCATCCTAAGAGTCGAGAACATCTGATGTGATCAACACCAAAAATATTCGAGTTTTACTGTATTTACTTTTCTATTTGTTTTTTTCCCAGTTGTTATGTTTATTTTTATTTAAATAAAATATAAAATGAAAAATATTGTTTTGCAGAGATAATGGCATCAAAAAGTGCTCCGATGACTTCTACGGATCATGCGTATAAATATGGTACAAAAGATCTTAATAACCGAACTAATTTTACGTGTGCATTCTGTGGTAAAGTTATCAAGGGAGGAGTTCAACGACTGAAACAACACTTAGTTGGGGGATTTAGAAATGTGATCAAATGTCCTTGTTCTGAGCGTGTGAGATGAGAAGTATCGATTTTATGATGAAAAATGCAACTTCAAAGATTGAAAGTTAAACATTGCATAAAATTCTGGTTGATTCTCAATCCGATGATGGTTTAGATGAGGATGAGGAAGAGTTTGTTCCCAAAAAACCAAGAATGAAGAGTCCAACGGATGTGCCTGCGAATTCTCGTAGATTTTTCTACGATGCCGGGATTCCATTCAATACAGTTAGTTATCCAAGTTTTAGAGAGATGTTCGAAAGTATTGGACAATATGGTACGGGGTTGAAGGTATCTATACCATGCATGAGTTAAAAGTTTTGCTTCTTAAAGAGGAGGCAAACCATACCCAAATGCATATAAATGGGGAATATTACTCAAATAACCCACTTGGGTCGCAGCAATTTCAGTGTACACCACCGAAAAAAAAAAAATTGCGACCTTATTACGACTAATATATAACTAATATACAACTTATTACGACTAATAAACTACTCTTATTTTAGTGGTATATTAGTTATATATTAGTCGTAATAAGGTCGCAAATTTTTTTTTTTTTTTTCGGTGGTGTACCCTGAAATTGCTGCGACCCAAGTGGGTTATTAGGGTTAAAACCCCATATAAATGTGCACAAAAAGGAGTGGGCACAAAAATGTAGCTCAAAAGAGACTATTAGTGCGAGTTTTAGATCGGATGATGAACAATATAAGATAACATTTGAGTATATTGATAAGAGATTGGGTTACGAGCTTTATCGGCCTTTGCATGCTGCCGGTTATTTTCTAAACCCCAGTCTCTATTACGATAATCTGTATTCTAGTTGTGAAGAAGTTATGAAGGGTATCTTTGAATGCATTGAAAGATTATCTCATACCGTTGAAGCTGAAGACAATATCATAAACGAGTTAGAAGCATACAAATCTACAGACGGTCTTTTCGGTCTACCTGCAACTATTAGATCAAAGAATACTCATTCTCCAAATATTAAATTTTAAAATATAAATAAAAAAGTTAAAAGTATATATGGATTACATCTTTTTTATGTTTAGAAATTAATATAATTTATTAATTTTTATTTTTATTAGTGAAATGGTGGTATTCTTTTGGATCTTTGACTCCTAATCTTCAAACGTTTGCAATGAAAATCTTTAGCCTTACTTGTGATGCTCCGGATTGCGAGATGAATTTGAGTAATGAATGGATATTTGGAAGAATAAAAGGTAATTCGTTGGATGACGATGATTTTGTATTCAATGATGACGTTTGTCTTATATTGAGTCAAATTGATATTACAGGAGGGATCGGTGAATTAAGTTATTCTACTAGCTAGAGATTCAATATCAACAATTGCACAAGATGGTCTCACACTTTCCTGAATAAAGGAAATGATATTGCTGATGAAACAAATTTGACATTGATGAATAAAGAAGAAAAAGATATCGGTATAGATGATGATGAAAATTAAGATGATGATTTTGATCTAAATTAGTTATTTAGAAAAAGACAAAGTTTATGTTTTTTTTTCGGATACTTATTTTTATTTTCGATGCATTTTGAATAGGGGTGGGCAATTCGGTTCGGAAATCTGGTCCCGAACCGTACCGAACCGATTAATTCGGTTTCGGTTCGGTTCGGTATTATATAAAAATACCGAACGGTTCGGGAACGGTTCGGTTCGGTTCGGGAAATACCGTACGGTATTTCGGGATTTTTATTTTTTAATTAAAAAATATTTAATATTAATAGTTAATTATGATATTTACTAATATTAAGAGTTTGTTTGCATAATGCATTGAGATTAATGTTGAATTTTTTCCAAGTTTATAAGTTCGAAATTTTTGTTTTGTTGTATAAAATTATTATGTTGAATCTCTTTACTTTTATATTATATGAATTATAAATATGTCATGAACCGTCCCGAACCGTCCCGAACCGTTCCGAACCGTTTTTATTTCGGTTCTTATTTGGTACTTATTTATTAGTACCGTATCGTCCCGAACCGTCATAATACCGAACCGAATCGAACCGAATAATATACGGTACTAATTTGGTACAAATTTTATAATACCGAATAAACCGTTTCCGAACCGAACCGTTAAAATTCCGAACCGAATCGTGAAACGCCCACACCTAATTTTGAACATTGAATATTAAACGTTTTGCATTAGATAACTTATCCTATATATCAAACATCAAGATTTTAATATATTCTAATTACATTTTTGTGTAACGTATGTATGCGCTTGACGTACAAGTGCTTGGCATGCGAATCATGCGTACGTGTTCTCGTTCCACACCACTAGAAACGTGACAAACGTACGTGATATCGTTCTCCACATATCTATAAAAGAAAACAAGGATCACTGACTCCGTATAACTCGGTCACTTCGGATTCGATGGCTCTGAAAGTTACCGAGATAGCTCGAGTCCGCCCCGCCACTGACTCTGTCTTGTCTCGTAGCACGGTCGACTCGGTCAGTCTCCACCTCACCTTCTTCGATTTGATGTGGATAAGGTTTCACCCCGTCGAACGAGTCTTCTTCTACAGACTCACCGAGCTAACTCGCGAGTCATTCGATTCCGTCGTTCTCCCTAAGCTCAAGCGCTCTCTCTCCCTCGTACTACTCCATTACATCCCACTCGCCGGCCGCATCACGTGGGACCCACAAGAGTCGAAGCCGAGCATCGTGGCCTCCAGAAACGACGCCGTTTCGGTGACGGTCGCCGAAACCGACGCAGACTTCGATCATCTTTCCGGCGATGAGCAACGTCAGGAAACCGAGGTACGCGAGTTGGTTCCCGAGTTACCAGCCTCCGATGACTCTGCCTCCGTCGTTTCTCTGCAAATCACGTTGTTCCCCAACCAAGGATTTTGCATCGGCATGACAGCACACCATTCCGTTCTCGACGGCAAAACGGCAAGCATGTTTATTAAATCTTGGGCTCACATCTGCAACAGGGAACGTGGATCTGAAGTCTTTGACTCTCTGCCGGACGATCTATCTCCGTGTTTCGATCGTACGGTCATCAAGTACCCAACAGGACTCGATACGAAGATGTTGGAGCTGTTGTCATCTATCTTGAAGGACAAATCCAAAGCACGAAGCTTGAAGCCGTTGCCGGGAAGGGAAATCAGTAGCGAAGTCGTCCGGGTCACGCTCGAGCTGACTCGGGAGGACATCGAGAAACTCCGGGAGCGAGTCAAGAACGAGTCATCATCACAAGATTATTATCACTTGTCAACTTTTGTCGTCACGTACGCATACGTGTGGACATGCATGGTGAAGGCGCGTGGAGGCGGCGCGGACACGTCCGCATGTCTCGGCTTCGTCGCCGACTTCAGGGACCGGTTAAATCCGCCGTCCCCAGCGACGTACTTCGGAAGCTGTGTGTTTCCGGTGGGTTGCTACGACGCAAACACGGGGGCATTTTCGGAAGAGAATGGCTTTATCACGGCGGTCAAGATCCTTAGCGACTTGGTCAAGAGATTAGGTTCGAGAGGGATAGAGGAAATCTTCGAGGAGATGGTGGAGGGAGCGAGGAGGCTGAAACCGGACACGAAGTTGGGGTCGGTAGCCGGGTCGACCCGGTTAGGGTTTTACGGGTCGGATTTCGGGTGGGGCAAACCGGTGAAGGTAGAGGTCGTGTCCATAGACCAGAACGGAGCGTTTTCATTGGCGGAGAGAAGAGATGAGACAGGTGGGGTGGAGATTGGGTTGTGTTTGGAAAAGAGTGAAATGGAAAAATTAGTTTCTTTCTTTAGAAATGGTCTGACTCCGAAATAGACCAAAAAAAAAAAATGTTTTTCATGACATATGGGTCTTGTATTTGTGGACAATGTTCCACATTCTATTAGTTTCAACATTTGCCCATGTCCTCGTTTCAATTTATGATGTTATTTGTTGGTTATTGTCGTTTGGATTTGGAGGCTGATTAATAACATATACTAATTACAGTTTTAAAATTCAATGAATGACCCTTGGTCCGCCATTTTCCTTGTTATAACTTATTAGCAATAGACAAAAAGATCAAAGAATACATCTGGTTCATTTCATAAAAGGCTCGCTCTCAAATTTGAATTTCAAATTTGAAAAAAATATATATATTCCAAATCATTTGATTGATTCCCGACCTAACGGCCGTATGAGTACGGTTATCTAAAAAAAGTTGGAGAATACATTGTTTATTTAATTTTTGTATTAATTGTTACATTTTGCTAGTATGTTTAGAATTAGAATAGAGATGCAACTTTAAATAATAATAATAATAATAATAATAATAAAAGACCCAGCTAAATACCAAATTCTATGTTTCAAATCTATAGTTTAGGAAGTGGAAAAAATGGAAACGTAACACCACGCGCACAGACCCATCGCCTTCGTCGTCGTCGCCGACTTCAGGCACCGGTTGAACCCGCCGGTGCCGGAGACTTACTTCGGAAACTGCTTGTTCCCGGTAGGTTGGTACGAACCAGACGGCGAGGGCATTTTCGGAAGAAAAAATTGGGTTTGTAATGGCGGTCGAAATCCTCACCGATCTGATTGGCTCACGAAAGGTAGATGAAATATACGAGGCCTTCCAAGAGGGGTTCGATTGCGATAAACCAGGGACGCAATTCGGGTCGGTAGCCGGGTCGAGCCGGTTAGAGATGTACCGCTCGGATTTCGGTTGGGAAAAACCGGTTAAGGTCGAGATATATTTATCAGGAAAAATATGGTAAATTTGTCCAAATACACTATATAAATATCTCAATTTGGTCAATATATATTACCAATTTGATATCTATATAACGTATAGCTTACATTGTTAACGTCATGATTTGGTATCCATTTGATATAAATTGATCAAAGTTTGATGTTTATTTAGTAATTTCGAAATTGATACATTTATACCGTACATTTAGATACACGGGAGTATTTTTTTTTATGAAAATTTCTTATTTTTAGTATTTGAGATGTCTAAGCAAAAAGACACCGTTACTCACATCATGAATATATAACTATATCAATCCTCCACGGAAAAACAAAAGAAGCAAGCAAACCAGCCTCGACCACCGGTTTTCGGGCCTTTCGGGTGTGTCCCCTTAACCGACCTCGAATCGGGTCTTGAAATCTCCGGTTTACAGATCTTGATTTTCGCTTTTCTAGGCGAGTTTCGTCTCCGGGGGTCTTTCGGAAATCTGGAAACACGAAAATGAAAGGTGACAGTGTTGAACACAAATAACCAAAAGGCCATTTTCTGGTTCGGTTAAGTACGATTTACCTAAACCGGGTATACCGACTTACATGGTGAATGAGAAGGAGTGTTTGCTCTTGTAATTGCAAATTGTACGAGAGGATTTGATCGGAGACCGCCGTGTTTCACGCTGGGAATCCGGTTTAGATTCTATTAAGACTTCTCGAATCTCGGTCTCTGGTTCGGTTATCTCCGGTTCGGTTATCTCTTCCGTATGTGCATGAACTTTGGTCATGTCGGTCGAAGCGGTTTTGTCATAACCGGTTTTATAGTTGTTAAGTTGATCAAAATTGGTCAACTCTCCGGAGTTGTAGAGTGGTATCACACGACTCGGAGAGAATATAATGTTGTCAATGTGAATGCTGAACAATGAATCGTTTGATGCAAGACTCCATTCTTGTGTCGACGCCGTCGTGGCAAAAACCGAGGGCGGAATCCGGTCTGGATCGTAACCGGTCTTCAGTACGTAATCCATGCCTGAATCCCGGTTATTACTATCGAAAGAAAAAAACCGGTTCATTTTGGTTAACATGTCTCAAATTTATGCATCGATTCCAAAAGAAAGGATTTTTTTTACATCGATTCAATTAAGAAATCAGTGACACTTACTTGATTCGATAGAGCTCTTGGTCGCCACAGTAATCTTTTTAGAAGTATTTCTTGGAAGAATTAATAAAAAAATAAATTAAATATATATATACGACCCTTAATCCAAAATCAATCAAGGGTTGAATGCTTTATTTAAAGCCCTCTAATGGTGATTTATATACGTTTAAGGAATCTCGTGGACAAAGCCACGGGACAAGAGACAATCTCGGAATGAGTTTTTTTTTTTTTCTTCTTCTTTTTGGCTAGTCGGTTTTTTTTTTGTTACAAATGTTCCTGTGAGGCGGGAAGGTTTAACACTTCTAATCCTAGGACTTGATTAAACGATAATTTTGTTTTATTTAGAGTAATTTTCGCAGGAACAATTAGCACAACAACCCGCTTCCTTATATAATATATATATATGTGTGTGTATATATATGCCCGTTTTAATTTTAATTTTTAGTTTCAACAAAATTTATGATTCCGTGAGAAATACGCAACCAAATTTAAGCATCTATCAATTCAAATGAACTATAGTCTTAAGAAAATAACCATTTTAGAATAACTATTATCATTTATGTAGGTGATTATTTGGGTAGATGAACAGAATTTAGTGGGTGACCAAAAACGCATTTATTTATTAAAAATTTTATCATTATAAAGTACGACTAACGAAAAGGGAAATTTTATTCACCTTTGGTGAGGCTTCTGCTTATAAGTTGCATAATACGATCATTAACCGGGCCTCAATTGGGCCTATTACTGGCCCATTAAGGATCCAAGGGCACTTATGTAATTATGTGATCTCTTGGTGCGTCGTCGCCATATGTATCATCTTATCCTAAAGTTTATGGTTTTCCTTGAGATATTTCGAGAAGATTTGAGGAGGAGTTTGTGAAATCCATATGGAGAGTTTGCTACAGAAACAGGTTTTTAACAATGGAGTTCAGTCCTTCAACTGTAAGCTCTACGCTTTTTCCTCCCCCTATCTTTAGTTTCTTGCATTTTCACCCCTCGATTTGAACCGAATACAAAGGAATTGTGAATTACAACTGCCGATCGAGAATGTCGTTTTTCTTTGTTTTCAGATCAATGGGTTTCCACAAATCGTCTTCAATTCAAGAATTATCTTCTTATAAACTCGAAAAACATGATTCGAAACCGGAATCGCGTATGTTGCACAATGTTGTACAAGAATGCGGCTACGAGCAAGGGCAAGAACCATTTGAGAGTACGTGTTTTAAGCTTTCCTATCCAAATATATATGAGTGAAATAATAAATTGACGAATGACAATATAAAAGTATAGATCAAAATAAAAGAATCGATTTTTGTTTATGGAACTTCGACAGGGTAGGGTTTGGGCAGTGAGGAGGAGGAGAGTGCATTCGAACTCGGAGACGTACGTGTTGTTAGAAGCGGGGCAAGAGGAGCAGTTCGTGTCGGAGGATGAGCTGAAGGAGAAGCTGAGAGGGTGGCTGGAGAGCTGGCCGGAGGGTTCACTGCCTCCTGATCTGGCAAGATTCCGAGACATCGATGACGCCGTCGAATATTTGGTCAGATCTGTCTGTGAGCTCGAAATCCATGGCGAAGTTGGTTCGGTCCAATGGTACCAAGTTCGTCTCGAGTGATGTACATTGCTTAGGGTTTTGTTTCTTTTGTATGAAAAAAAAACCCTTCTTTATTAACAACCTAGAAGGTTGCAGAGACGAAGAAGAAGGAAATTTCTCTCTTGATATGTATTTTTCAAGTGTTACTATTTCTGTATACAGTGCTAGTGCTTGTATATAAAGAAACTAATCTATACATGTATGTAACCAAAAAGAAAATATCATTATCCAAGATAGTTTTTCCGTTGTTTCCTCAGCCGTTATTGTTATTGCCAGTACTGTCTGTACTATCCTTTTGTTGTGTTGATTCTTTGTGCACTGCGACTTTAGCATCCTCACGTGATTTGTCTTCCAATAGCCGAAGCTCAGGAAGGTAGAGACTTGAAACTTGCAAACGATGCACCAAAGAATGAAAAAGTGTGGCAGAGAGAGGCTTAGTCATGAGATCAGCTAACTAGCAATCAGATTTCACGTGCATCAGATGAAGCCGCCCTGTCTTGATTCGATCACGAACCAAGTGGCAAGCTAACTCAATATGTTTCGTATGTCCATGAAACATAGAGTTAGATGCAATGTGGAGGGCAGATTTGTTATCACAAAACAAATTGATCGGGGTAGAAACCGGGATATGCAGATCAACGAGAATGTGTTCTAGCCAAATAACTTCGCAAGTTGCATTGACCATGGCACGATATTCAACCTCTGTGCTGCTTCGAGATATCATGTGTTGTTTCTTGGCCTTCCAGGAGATAAGGGAAGGGCCAAGAAAGATGCAGAAACCCGAGATTGAAGCCGTAAATCAGGACACGACGCCCAATCTGCGTCAGCAAAAGATGTGAGGCGAAGATCAGATGAACTGACATAAAACAGACCTTGGGCAAGATTCCCTTTCAAATATCGGAGAATCTTGTATGCAGCTTTCAGATTTAAATCTGTAGAGGCATAGACGAATTGATTAAGTTTATTTACAGCAAATGAGATATCCGGTCGAGTTACCGTCAGTTAGAGTAGTCGACCAATGAGATTGCGATATGTTGTAGTTTCGGATAATGGATTACCAGAATCACTGCTAAGGCGAGCATTAGCATCCATGGTTATCGAAACAGGTTTGCAACCCGAATATCCAACATCAGAGAGTAACTCAATGCAGTATTTCCGCTTACAGATTTCAATACCTTCCTTGTTGCGAGCAATTTCTAATCCGAGGAATCACTGCCTTGATGCTTGTTTGAGTCCGTAAAGAGATTTTCGGAGACGACAAATGGCATCAGGAGGTAATGTGACATCAGATGGAGGAGTATAACCTGGTGGTAATTTCATAAAAATCTCTTCATCGAGATCGCTGGTACGTGTGTATCGAGTCTAAAATCTATAACCCGATTCACAACTCACCGCAAGGATACGGATCGTCGTAACACGGGGTCGAACACAAGGACCGGATGCTAAATCTAAACCCTAATCGAAACTAAATCAAAGCAAGCAAGTGAAAGTAATGGTGGAAGTATGTGGAATCTAAAATAACTAAAATAAGAAAGCAAATAAAAACGTGTAACTATCAAGCAAAGATGACCGTGGGTGTCGGGACCGTATTCGCGTGTATGGGTATATGCTAAGCATGCGAGAATCACGATATTGAATCTGTATTCGGGAATCGTCAAGCAACAAAAATAGAGAAATCACCTCCCGGCATATAACTCACTATCTAAAGTT